GTGAAGGCATTGTCAATAAGCAAGACCATTTATACAGCAATCCTAGGAATTAGCATAAATCAGATTTTTTCATTTTGAAGTGTGCAAATACCTTTTTATGAGATTTATGCAGAGCAGTCACATGACCACAGCTGTTCTGGAGTATCTGTGCTAAGATAAGCTGGAGGAGGGTCCAGCCAGTGTGGAAGGTGGGATCAGCCAGGTCTACGCAATTCTCTCTCTTTGTGTTTACGTCCTAATGATCAATAGTGAACCTGTCTTTCAGATGAACAGGGGTGGGTATGGCCAGTGCGGGGTGTGGGTCCAGCCAGTGTGGGGGTGGGCAGGTCCAGCCAGTACTACATGATCGTCTCTGTAGTTATATCCTGTTATATATACACTGCATGTCTGTCACCACGTAGTATGTGTGCTGAGATAGGTTAGGAGGTAAGGGAGTTTAATGCGCATGTCTGTCACTGTAGATCGGATCTTAACTCACGGGTCGCGTGGTCGGTAAAGAAGGGGAGGACCACAGAGACTGGCAAGCTCAACAGGTATATTACATTTTTGCCAGCCACATTAGATAAAATACACACTTCAAGTCATATTTTGTTATAGGTTCACATACACTTTAACTGCTACTAAACAACCTGAGTTTGAATACGTACAACCTGTGTGCTGTTAAACCAAGTCATGAAATTATACAAAGTGCCTCAAATTCTATCATATTTGTACACTGATCCCAGTAGAGGTAAAGGTGGGCGCTGAGACCAATTCATTGTTTCGTAGGTGAAAAGTCTTTATTAAAGCCCAAATTGCCCAAATTGAGTTCCGCTGCTCTCTACAAAGCAGAGATCCTACCGATATAGGGGGTCACCTGGCTTGGGAAATCTATTTGTTGTCTGCCGCACGGTTGCTTAACACAGACATCCACTGACTATACTTTGATATTCCCCTGGCTTATTCAGGTTCCTATTTTTCAGTCCAAAAGATTATATGTGTAAAAGTTGCTAAAGCCTGACGAAGGGGGTTTGTGTGACCACCGAAATCTTTTTGATATGTGTGTGTGTTTGATGCTCATTCCAGTTTGACTACACAAATATTTGTTCACTGAACAGTAGATCATGATTAGTTCAGTACTCATGGGTACAGAGGGCAGGTACTGAAAACTTTCCAGCCAGACAAAAGAAGATGATTGTATCCAAAAGTAATCTATTTATACCACAATCATTGCATATTGTCAAATTTGTCAAAATTGCTGCTGCCTTTTTTGCTTGCTAGACTAACCCAGTCGCTGATATTTGAACTTGCTTCACCTCTGTTCACATCTCACCTTTCATCTACAGAATAGAGATCCCATTCTTCCTGTTTATTATCAGAGAAGCTAAACAAAGACACATTTTCTTTTCTGGTGAAGACCAGCATTCTACATCATAGGCTTAGTACATCATAGTACATCATATAAAGAAGAACCCCAGGATTTATTAAAATGAACTGTTGCGGTGGCAGGAGCCCCCCCCCCCCTCCCCTCTGCAGCCCCACGGCAAGGGTTAATTTTTTTAAAATCTTGGAGTCCTTCTTCAATATATATTAACATTTAACATAATCCATACTATACAATCGGATAATTCCTTCCAACCACAGTGTCCACACTCCTACGTATTATTTTCCAGGACACGTGAACAATGATACAGTAATAGCACATAGCAGATTTACATTTTTCTGTATTGGAAAATGTCACCCTCAAAGAATCGGAAAAACGGTTAAACTACACTAGCTGGTCCACACAGATATATAAGTAGTATTCTATTTATTCAGATAAATGCAATCCACTAACACAGCAATAACAAAATATTTGAAACCACTCTATAGGCCTCATAGAATCCTGGCTCCCAACCTGCATTCATCTGTATATGTATTTGCATTGATATAAAAGGCAAAATTCACACTGAAGCTCAGAATACATTACACTGGTCTACTCTCCCCAGAATAAATCGAGGCAATACTACTGCATAATAACGTATCTCCACAGTGCTTCAACCACTGCAGGTTGTGCTGAATATGCCACCCCTGGTTATTCAAAGAGTTCTTCCTATATAACTCTGATTTGATCTCTGCGTTGTTTACTACGTTTAATATGGCTTATTAGAATCACATGCATGAGCGCGCCTTTGGTGCCTTTTTAGTTCATGAATTTAACAAACTGGGGTGAAAGTAAATGGTGGTGGGAAATACAGCAGCACAATATATCGGTGATCAATCATTCGTATAAGTCACCTGAACCCTCACTTGCCAGTGTTGCTGCACATCATCATACAGAACCTTCGCTGTCACTCTGTCACCACTGGCACAGCATTGTCTTCTACACAACATGCACTCATCTAGCAGAGATGAATTGTGCTGTAGCTCTGCAACATATATGGTGATTGTAATAAACCCCTCCTGGCTGAGGAATGGTGTGTATATATAAAGAAACACATTCTGCCTGTCTCCCGTCAAAGACTTAGATAGAAAACAGAAAGCAGTGTGTACAATCAGCACGCACTGACCCATGTGCCATTAAAATAATATAGATGTCAGCTTAAGGGAAGCCCTTAATAATCTTGACATCCTTATTTGGACTACACAAAAGAAACATTTTAAATCACTTAAATTACCTTTTTTTGCCTCTGATCCTCCCTGGCCCCTGTGCAAGCATTAGGCAGGTGCAGGCAGTTTCATGCATGTTTTATAAAAGATACATTGTACTTTAGGATGAAAGTCTGCTAGCAAGTGGAGCATAGATGATGGGAAGAACCCATGGAGCACACAGACACACGCTGATTCCCATTCTCACCAAGCCAAGGAGTTCACTCACCCCCTATGTTATGGTCTCCTAATACTCCAAACCGGCAGGGGAACATCATAGGCTCAGGAACCTGCAGGACTGCTTACCGCTGCAAGCCTGTGTGTGTATCACGTGTCATCCTCTACACGTTGCCATAGAGATTCTACATAGATACAATATATTTATGCAGCAGAAGAGAACCCAGGCTCAATAAAAGCGCACAGCTCCCCCAGTGCAGGGCACTCAAGGAGCAGAGACCTGTACCTGCTAAGCTTACACTCATTCTAGAATCTAGATGTCCGAGTCCACTGCACTTAGAGGAATAATTCTAAAGTAAAGACAAAGGAGCTGACCTTCATATAAAGGGGAGGCAGGGGTTGATGCAGCTTCAAACACCTCCACTTTTCACATCATCATATACCAATGACATGCATTTAAGTCGATATAATCCCAATCGCTAAAATATCATATACGATTTAAAATGTTCTTTTAAATTTCAAAAGTTGGTTTCAATCTTTTAATAAATCAGCAGCTTTCAATAAAATAAATGCAGCTCAATTCACCAAGCTTTAACCCCAGGATAAGGGTTTTTATTTCAGCCATGGGGCTGTGATTTTTAATTCTTAGGGGACTAAGGGCTCATTCACATGTGTGCAGTAGATTCCATTGACAATGGATTTCTCTGGATGCAATCCAAATGTGACCAGGAGACCTATACAAAGCAATGATTAGCTGACAGGAGCCGCAGCTGTCCACGGCTGTTCACATGTATCTGCACATCCACCTACGATTAGGGAGAAATGTTGGACGCTTGACGGAATCAGTTGTCTGGCCCTAATCACTTGTGTGAGTGAGCCCTTAACTTGAAATCATTGTTTGTTTGTTTTTCAAAGACAAGTATCCTTTTCCTGGTGTAATAGCTTCCAGAATTGAGCCTTTTGTGATCCTGCCATGAAGGTCATTGTTCAGGCACTTCCTGTGATGGGGTGACAACTGTCTCCTAGTTGTGGCCATTTACATGCGCCCACACCATTGCACATTGCATAAGCATGGCCAACTGTTGCCATTATCAATAAACCTTTCTGAAACAAGAATGCGCAGCTGACACTAGAGCGAGTGCATGTAGACAGGAGATAGCCAAAAGAAGCAAGAGTAGATCAGCAGAACCGAGATGCAAAAGGCATGAAAAAAGGCAAAAAGAGTATTTTTACAAATACTCCTTGCACACGTGCCCCCCGGTGTAGACTCCATCCAGCCGTACCATGGCACAAACATGGCCAACCATTGCCATATTGGGGTGACAACTGTCTCCTAGTTGTGGCCCATCACATCATGGTGCAGACTCCAAGCAGCTATACCACTGCATAGGCAAAGCCAACTGTTGCCTCTATCAGTAAACCGGTCCAAAGCAATAATATGCAGCTGACACTGAAGCAAGTGCATGTAGACTGGAAGTGGATGAAAGAGGCTGGAGGAGATCAGCTGAACCGAAATGCAAAAGGGATGAAAATAAGGTGAAGAGTATTTTAGGGGAAGAAATGGCAATCCTTTATGATACACAGTGCTTTAGGCAATGAAATGTCATCTAGTTAGGGTTTGGATCTATAAATAAAATAAGGATGACAGTTATAGTAATAACAATAATAATAATAATAATAGTAATTACAGTGATAGTAATAGAATAATAATGATACTACTACAACTAAGAGGAAGAAGGTGATAGTTATAGAATAATAATGATAATAGTAATAACAGTAATAATAATAATAATGACAGTGATAGTAATAAAAAAATATTGAAATACAAATAATGACTAACATATATGATATATATTCTCTTCCCTGACATCTAAGCTGACTAAGTCAGACAGTGATCATAAAGACAAGGCTTGCACCCTATACAATATCAGCAGGTAGTCTGTGCACGATCGCCTGTTGGAAAGGGGCCGATCACAATACAAAGTACAATACATGTCAGATGAAGAACTCCCAGGACCAATCAGATTATAGTGAACGCTACAATCAGTACAGTCCAAGCTTCGATCACCATTAGTGCAGCTCTCTGAGCCTCTGCTGGAGGATTAACATTTTGGCTTTGTAAATCAGATCATTTCTTCCCCAGCTGAGCCGAGCAGACAACAGCTTGCCTGGCATATAGCTAAAGGGAAATCATCTCTCTCTGTGATTCAACTCACCAGTTTGCTGTGCAGCTGAATGAATGGCCGGTGACAGCCCAGGCAATCTTCTTCCTAAATCCTGAGATCTTCCTGAAGTCGTGCGTTCACCATGTTCCTCCATTGAGGTGCCCCCTGGCACTATCGGTCCGGCTCACATGCTCGGAGTGGTGCCGCCTGCGCTGTCCTCCTGGTGCCGGCTGCCTCCTCGCTCCAGTTCTGCGCTGAGGTTGGAGAAGATCTGTTCGCTGACATCCTCGGCGCAGGATCCGCCTCTGTGACTCTCTGTATCAGCAGAGACCCGGGCTGGCTCCGCCTCTGGTCACCTTTCCTCCTGCTGTTGGTCGCCTCTGCCATTGACACAAAGGCAGGGGTGGACTGTGACAGCAGCTTCTCTTCCACATCTTTTCACACCTGCTAATGTTAGTGATAAATAGATGCAAATCACATGCCTGGGATGACTTAACAGAAAGTGAAAGCTGCTTGGAGGATTGGATGTGTCAGCTGAGATGAAGAGAATCAGAAATACCTCAAAAAAAGAGTTACTGGAAATGATATTATATTATCCTGACTGCCCCTTTCTACTAGGGCAGGGGTATAGGCACTGGGCAATTCATTTTCTCAAGGGGCACATGAGAAACTGGAACTGTTGCGGAGGACCAAACCAATAGACATTGTAGGGCTCATGCACACCAGTGCCATGCGTTAATCGCATGGTTCTGTGCAGGGGCGTAACTAGAAATCACAGGGCCCCATAGCAAAATTTTGTGTGCCCCCCTAAACCACCCCCCCTCAAAAAGGACCTACCTCCTGCACACGTTCCCGCTCATTGCTGCAGAGCCCACCATAGACCCTGCACAACCCTCCTGACACCCTGCACAGCACACTTCAGACCCCGCACATACCATAGACTCCGCACAGCCCACCTGACACCATGCAGAGCCCACTTCAGACCCCGCACATACCATAGACCCCGCACAGCCCACCTGACACCCTGCAGAGCCCACCTGAAAACCCACATAGCCCACCAGAGAGTGACCCTGCAGGGTCTCAGGTGGGCTGGTCACACCCCTGCACACCTCTCACCTGTCAGCCCTGATCCGCTGTCAGCCTCCTCCACCACCGGCCCCTGCCTCCTCCACCTCCTCCATGGTCACCACTGGGCCCGGGGCCCGCCTCTCCTCCATCGCTGCCGGGGCCGGTGTTCTTTCATTTCATGGGACCTGTAACTGGATTGGACTGACATGCGCGCAAGCTCACTGTGGGACCAGGTCCGTGAATCTGACGGACCATCGTATGCGCAGTATGGGATCAGGTCCCTACATCTCACAGACCAAGGCAGGGTCTGTATATGACACGGACCAACGCAGCTTAGTATCAATGGTGTTGTGGCTCCAGGTCCATAACTCTGACGTACTAGTTATTAAATCATAATGCTAACACAAAATATGATTGCACATAAATATATTTGTTTTACACATTATACACTTTTCGTTAAATATAATATTTAGATAGGGAGACAGCAAGAACATAGATACACATATGTGTGTTTGTGTTAAAAAAAATTAAATATCATATTGACACAAATATATTTATGGGTAATGATATTTTGCTTCATCATGCTCATTTCGTAGTTAGTCCATAACAATTATGGCCTTGCAGCCGCTGATGTGAAACTGCATTGGACCGTGACATTCACAGACCTGCTTCCATACTGCGCATGCCGTATGTTCGTCAGACCTGAGCCCACACTGCGCTTCCGCGCATGTCAGTCCAATTCAGTCACGGGTCCGATAACATGATAGAACACCAGCCTCTTGATCCGACACTGCCGGGCCCCGCCTCCTCCTCTGCTGCTGGGCCCAACCTCCTCTTCCACCGCTGGGCCGAGGCCTCCTCCACCGCAGGTGCTGGCTGTCACTGACTCGGCTGTGAGAAGGAACACGCCACTGCACAGAGTGATCTGAACAGCGGTGGTTTCCTACTCACAGCCGCCTGTGACAGTCCTGCAGCCTGCAAAGCCATAGTGACCCAGGCATCCTGCACGGCATCAGGGGGACCCCTTTGTTTCTGGTCCTTGTCGGGCTCCTCCTGGCCCCATAACTGCCATCTGGGTCGCTATGGCGATAGTTCCGCCACTGGTTCTGTGCAATTAATGCACAGTACCGCAAAACTCACTTACCATGCATTACAGTGCGGTAGGTGCGTTGCGTTGACATTCATTTAAATGCCACCCCAAAAGCACCTCCTGGGCACAATGTGATTGATCACAATGCGATCAGCCGAAATGCAATGAATGGTATTGCGGCACCATATTGAAAAAAGTTGTGCATGCAACGCATTGCGCAGTACCATGCGCTAATCGCATGCGTAGTTGTGAATGGAACAAGTGAATTAAGCTTTATTGTTCCCACATAGTATGTGGCACATACCTTATTTTCAATTTGTCTTTATAGGCCAGAGGCGGGAGCCAGGAGGTGGAGCTGCAAGAGATGACTTAAGAAGATACTCTTCCATCCTCCTGTAATGTTGGGGATGGGAACACATTTTACATCACTGGTTGCCAGGACCACCCCGCAGTCCTAGCAACCAGATACAGACTGATCACTGACCTGTGCTAGGCTGTGATTTTGCAGTGAATGCACCAGCCTTGGAGGCCAGTGCATCCATTGTCAGCCAGCCAAACCAAGCGCAGGCCGTCGATCCGTCCATGTCCAGACCATGGGCTCCAAAATGCCCAGTTCTGCACTAGGGGTAAGCTTGATCATGAGCTTGCACCTAAACCCAGCCCGTTCACAGTTCAGCGAACATGCAAACACACTGGCTATATTTTTTCCAGTTTGCCTATCTGAACCCCCAACTCATGTTTTTAAAAACATCAGCTGGAAGTCTGCCATTTTGCGGCAGGAGAACTAATGCCGCAAAATTACCGTTCCCCAGTTGGCTGTTTTTTTCCAAACAGGGGATCCTAGGCGATGTCACCATATGTTGTCATGATCATATATAGCCAATGACATCACCCAGAATCCGTGGCTAGAATCCACGCCTGTTATTTGCAATGGAAGTAGCTGTGGGTAAACAATAGTGGGTGCAATGGGTTGATGGGCTATTGTAATTGACATGGATCTACATCACTGGATGCCATGAATGATATTGGGTTTACATCTGAGGGCATTGTCTATTGAATTTCTTTTTTCTAATACAGGACTTTTTTCTTGGTGTGGGTGTCTTGCGAATGAGTGACAAGAGGTACCCCATAGTCATTCACCTGGGGGGGCAGATATCTGGATGCCTCCTTACTGTAAAGTCCCCCCACTGACCCCCACATCCCTTTGGGTGGCAGCATGTGGGGGTGAGGTACTTGTCCTCCCAAAAGGGGGAGCATAGTGATTTGCAGATGGTAAAGCAAGTTACCCTTCCAATGTTGGAGGCATGTGGCCTGGTATGGCACACACTTGCTACCCCTCCCCCACTTCTTGGCCACCACAGAGGCATGCCTGGATAAGGATCTTTTATGAATATTTAGGGGCCAGGATTCTGCTTTTTCGCTGTTCGCAGGTCTATGCCAGCTGTCTACCGCTGATGCTTGTTTTTTTTGCATTACTTTTGCTTATTGCGTGATCACTTGCATGAGACCGTATGCATATATAGCTTGAATACATGAGCTGAATGGAAGTGGTCATTGTATGATTGGACATCCCGGATCTGATATGCACTATATAAGGTGCACACAGTATGTACGGTATAACTGTGCCGGCTGAAGATTTAAATGTGTTGGATGCAGCCCCGATGCTATTATTGGACTTTGATGTGTTATTAACCCTTGCAGTGGGGCTACCCCGCATTGCAAGGGTTAAGTGCTTGTTTGTGTCTAGGTGCTAAAATAGCAAAGATATACTCATCCGAAGTTCCAAGCTGGCCAGCTGTCACGGCACTCCTTCCAGCCCGTTCCCTCCTACTCTGCAGCACTGAAATGTTCCTCAGCGTCCTCACGTCTATACACTGGGTGGTATTTATCAAAACTGGAGCAGAGAAAATCTGGAGCAGCTGTGCATGGCAACCAATCAGCTTCTCTCTTCAGTTTGTTCAGATTATCTGTCATATATGTGCAAATGGTAAGTGTTAGACTGCCAGGGCTGCACTCAGGGAGGTGGGGGAAGTCTTTAAAGGGCAATTGTACCAACTATTCTAAACCTAACTGGTCACTATGTGCAATAACTCCACTTTTGTGGTAGTTTTATTTTCTGGAAAAGATGAAATGTTGAAAAGGAAATTGAGTCAGGTAATACAATCAATGACTTGTGTACTGCAATCTCACACATACAGTACATTAAATTTTATATTTAGCAACTAGTGGATCATCCTTTATTGGCAATGCCTTTAACCAGTTTCTGTGTCTGGTGACCAGACCTACGCAACAGGTACATTGCCACATTCCTATATACAAAACCCTATTGGGTCATACTGCATATATTTTGGAATGTTTTTCTTAAATAGTCTATCCCAGGCCCCATTACAGCAATTCAATAGGCCAGTGATTTGGCAAGGACAATATAGAATGTTATTGCTATTCATTTTGCTGGATCATTGTCATTTTGTGTTTAGTTGCAGATTGCTGGCAGACTCTACAAGATTTTATTTTGTAACTTAACTTGAAATTACGGCTGGAACAACTAATCGATGTAATCGGTGATAATCGATAATGAGAATCTTTGTCAATGATTCTCTTTATCGATTAGTTGATTCATTAGTTGAATCCGCCGCCACTCTACTCCCCTGTTCTCCTCCCCGATAGTGCCGGCTGCAGCGGTTTTTGTACCTTGCAATCCTCGCTGTGCCTGTGTCAGCAGAGGAAGCGGGGACACAGCCAACTGCAGCTCGCATCAGCAGGCAGGAGAGACCGGCTCATCCTCTGCATTCCCCGGCTTGTCCGCTGTCACTCCCGCGCCTCCTCTGTATTCTGAGGCTTGTCCGCTGCAGCCCCCGTGCCTCCTCCGTATTCCCTGGCTAATATGCTGCTGTCCCCGTTGCTCCGCTGCTGCCTCCCACTGGTGTCCCGATTCCGCAGCTGCTTCCTCATGCCCCCGCTGTTCCCCCATGCCCTCTCTTCTGCCAGCGGTAGAAAGCCGGTGTCAAGTACCCATCCAACAGCTGGGAACAATAGCCAGCCTGCTATTGGCTATTTTCAATTACAATAGCCAATAGTATTTTTATTTTATTTAACTGTTTAACTTTATTTTTTTAATTTTTTTTTAATTTTTGTCAATTTGTCAATCAGCAGAGGAGGATCTGAA